CACCTGCAGTGGGGACAGTTTTCCAAGAAGCCAAATAACCAGCCAGTACAGTATGTCTTTGGATTGTGGGAGGAAACCAAAGGAAACCCGTGCAAACACAGGGAGAGCAAACTCCAAACAAATAGCACTCCAGGTCCAAAATTGAACCCAGGGCCCCAGAGCTGCAAGGTACTGTAGCAATGGTAACCATTGCATCACCATGCCACCCAATCTGGAACAAATGTGTACATACAGTACAGTATGTTCACAAGCTCCTGCCATCATAGTGGCAACACATCAGGTAAGAGACTCAAGTAAAAGCAAGCAGGCAAAGTATTCATTGAGGTTAAAGAGGACTTTTTTTGCACAATTTGTTGGAAATTCTGCTGCTCGAGATTCGGGTCTTATTTCTGTTTAAAGCACTGAACAAGTTCAAAAAAAGGCTATGCCGTCAAAATATTGCCTTTTGCCCTTTCTGCTTATTGAAAATCCTTTCAGAGGTTTAAAGGCTAAAGAGTGCAGTGAATCCTTCACAGACCTCGAGCACGTTCCCTGGCCCACTCTCTTAAAAAAAGACATACTGTATGGGTGGCCTCACTCAACTAACGATGGTCAGTTACAAATTAAAAAAACAAAACAACTAGAAATGCAAGCCACAGTGTACAGTTTGAGAATGATCATTTTAATCTAAAGGGTTCCAATCACAGTGGTGTCTTAGCACACTGCAGTAATATACATATAACAGCGGTCTTTTAGCAGGGAGATACACTGGAGCTGGAGTGGATGACTCTGGGACAGCCTTTCTGCTACGAAAGGGAGAAGTAAGCAAACTGTAGCAGAACTGGATGTTTCTGTGGTAACCCCAAAGCAAATTTACAAAGAATAACTAATAAATATACCACAAAGCAATAACATTAAAAGCAGCAAGCAACAACCAAATATACAGAAGTTAAAATCAGCATGATTTTACAGCACAAGACCAGGCACCAACTACTCTTGCCTATGCAAGTAAGCCTTCTAGCAAGACAAAATTGAGAAACAAAGGATAACAAACTATGACTAATATCTTTGGGGGAATTCTTTATAACTGAAAGCTAAATTACTGTTGTATTAATACAGTATGTGTTTTAAGGCAAAAGAAAAGTAGCTAAGATCATTTAAAATTTTGCCCAGCCACTTCTTCAAGATCCCCAGTGTTTGGGTCTTAACCACGTGGATGGGAGGTGTTTTCCGGCTACACACAACTCCTAGAATAAAGAAGTGTTTCCTATTCTCTGTCCTAAATTAAACCCCCTTAGATTAGAGGTACCTCATGTCCTTCTTTCACAAATGTGAAACAGTCCCCTGGGTTGAACCTACAGTATCTATGCACTTTAGGATTTTGTACTGTATATCTGGATCAAATCTTAGTTCTCTGGAGATACAAAGAGAGGAACACACAAGGAAGAGAGACACAGGAGGACATTGTCCCGGAGGCCGATGGCTAGCTGTGGAGAGACCGGCAGAACAGGAAGATCCTATGCGAAGTGGCAGGAATGGAGCAAACTTGGGGGTTCGCTCCGAGATCAAGGTATCGGGAGGAGTCGGGGACGAGACATTAGTCCTCAGGCAGCAGACGTGGGGCAACCTGGTGAGGCGAGCCTCTCGACAACCGATCCCGATGCCGAGCGAGGAGGAAAGGGAGACCCGGAAATATACAGCCCCAGACAACAAGACACACTGGAAGAACAGGTAAAGCACAGGGAAACCAGGAACAGGACAGAGAAAAAGCACCCTCTGGATGTAGAGGGCTTGAGAGACATGTGTGGCAGGTGAGAGGACCTAGTATGGATCAGCCTTAAAGATCAGATTCGAGTTTAAGTTTTTGAAGCTTGACTAAGAGTGCTTCCCTTTCATTGTTTTAGGAAACTATGCTTTCCTTTATAAGGAATCCCCAAATTAAATACATTCTCTCCTGCCTAGTAGATGTATTTTTTTTTTTAGAATAGGGAAATAGCTTCTCATTCACTTTGGAAAATCCAGATTAATAGAAAGAAAGACTGAGCAATGGGTTCTATTCTGTGTATTTCTCACAGGTTCATTTCTCTTGTTGGCATGTTAAGTGTTATTTAGGATTTTTGAACACTGCGTAGCAGTCTGGGTTTTTTTGGTGAGTCAGAATGTGGTCCTCTGAGTTGCCTTGTTTGTAAATAGAGTAACTTGTACTGTATGTTGTATGTTGTTTTGTGTGTTGTTGTTATTGTTAATAAATATTTCTTTATCCCAGTTTGCCTGATTTATTAATCCTTTGCCAGAACTGTGCCAGAGAAAGAACTACTGTATAGCAACATTTTTGTATACTTTTGGCATATATTTTACAATTTGACAGTTCAATGTTCTCTAATTTCTTAATCCCCCCTATT